TTGTAGACATATATTTGTAACACAAATGTTAAACTAAAATATGAACACTATTATTTGTTATTTTGTATTAAAATGGGGGGAAAAAAATCAGTAGTTGCTCGTTATGAAGGGCTCTGGGGCTTCGCCTCCTGCAATGAGTTTCGTGCGGCACATGACCACATTGGAGGTAACATACCGAAAAGTTAGTGTATTTTTGAAATTTCTAGGTTTTATTGTGTATCATGACTCATGGTCCACATCTAAAGCATTGAACGAAAAGAAATTAAACTACCTATTTTATTTTTCCCTTTTTAGCTTGCTACTGTAATAAAAAGGAAAATATTGGATAATTCCACAATTTTGAAAAAAAAAACTTGCTTCCTTTATTTATCCACATATTAATTAATTGTGAATTGCTCACATTTAAGATATTTTTGCACATAGAAGAAATAATACGTAGGTCAGATTCAACGGGCACTGGCGAAAATATTGAAACAATCAAATCCAATTTAAAATAACATTTTTCTAACCGTTAGATTTCAAGTGGCATTTTCAGTGATGTCATCACTTGACATACCGCCCCTAACCGTTTTGTAACCCGGTTAGTTTAAAGCTTAATTTTCATGCATCCGTTTTTCCGACGAAAGATGTCCGAAAAACATTCTATTCTGACATAATCGTATAAAAATATGTCAAAATAGAAGATTTTTCGGACATATTTCGTCGGAAAACGGATGCATGAAAATCCTCCCTAAACCGGAGCGACGTAAAAAGGTGTATTGGTTTTTATTTGTCACTCATTTGTAAAACGTCACTTATCAAGTCAAAACATAACCAGTGAAAATTGATTTTTACCAAGATTTTTACAAGCTACTGGCTCTACTGACTTGTAAAATTGACAGCTAAACTGTAAAAACTTTTTACAAGTCAGTAGAATTATTTATTTTTGAAAAATCGGTTTTATCACAAGAATAATTGCTTGTAGGTACCTTCTGGGAGACTTTTCTGGTGATAAACTGTTGGCTACGACTGCAGCTTCATTAATAATATCTTGTAATAAATTCATTTCTGGAAAAAAATTGCAAAATGGAAATCTGTCAAAAAACCTATTTATAACTAGAAACAACGTCTTAACAACGTATCATTCTCATAGTTATACCAACTACCAAAACTTCTGTGAGAAAAAATCAAGGAAAAACATATAAATTTCAAATTTTTGTTATGTATTGATTTTTTATTTGTCCCTATATCTTTTACAAATGAGTAACAAATAAATTATTGTACATTATACGCCAGGTACCAGTTTTTACTGGCTCTTGAAGGTGACAAGCTCGCCTGGCGGCTCGCTAGTCATTTCCTTCAATCGCCAGTAAAAACTGTTTTACCTGGCTAATAATGTAAAATACTATCACAAAACATCCCCCCTTAGAAATGTAAGTCTTATGAGAGACGTCAGTCTAGTCGTTTCAGCTTTCCCCTCCAATCACTAGAGGCGCTTCAATCAACCTATTAAAGTTTTCTTTTTCCTGCCGGACCGTGCGCCAAGATTTGAAGTTTATTTTGTCATTTCCAGTTGTCAAAATTTAAATTTTGAACTTCTCCCAACATTTAGAATTATCAATTACCTATCAATTATCAATAATTATTATTATCTCAAAATGTCTTCTCCCAGTTTGTTAATTGAAAAGCATCAGAAATGCTGTGTTCCGGGGTGCGGCGACAAATACAGCAGCTATTTCCGGTTTCCAAAAGATGCCGAAAAAATGAAACAATGGCTAGAAAAAGTTCGCAATCCTTTACTAAATAGCCTCAGTGTCGAGAAGGCTTATAATAATTATAGAGCGTGAACAAGACATTTTCCTCGAGAATTTATTGTTGGCGATCCAAAAGCCAGACGAGGACTCACATGGAATGCTGCGCTTTTGCTGTATCTCCCTGAAGGTAAGTTAATACTAGATATATGTGAGAAAGACGTACTTACATTTTCACTTACTCCTCCCCATAGTTCTGATTAACGACAACGTGTTACAATTCGGGTTTAAAGGAGCATAGGTCAGAAACATTAAAATTAATTTTAATTTTAGCCCCAATTATCAAAAACAGTGAGGAGTCGTTAATTGATAAACCACAATCACCAAAATGGCAAAAAGTGGAGATCGACACAGTTGAAACTCGTCGAAGAGTCCTAAGACGCCTTCAGAAATTAGTTTCGCAACTATGATTGACATAGGTAGGTAAACATAATCTCTGTTCCAACACGTCAAAAAATCGTCCCATGAACGGTTTCGAAACCACTCAGTATAACAATTTTAGTTTCTGCGCAGAATCGTGACGGTACATTGTACGGTTTTCTGCTGTGTTGGAACAAAGCTAATATTATTCATTTCTTTTTTTTTAAATGTTTATTCCTTTATCAGGAGACACAATAATTAAAATATTCCTGGGTTACATACAGGTACACCATATTCTACAATGCGTGTATCCAAACTTTTTTGGTAGAATCATTGGTAACGAAATTTCTGTTTTAGATCAACCAGGCCCTTCATGTCGTCAATTTTTATCTACTGAAACTTCTGCAATTCGGGCAGACATTGCTACACCAAGTGGAACCATCACATCTGCAAACATGAAAAAGTCACCAACCAACTTTGTCTCTTAAAACTTTTATTGGTAGGTACCTACCTAAGTGTTATTGCTTAATGAATAACCACCCAGTTGGGAGTAGGTGAATTTTAAAACATCCTAACTCAAGTAGGACTACTACTATAAAAGACTACTAATTACTAAAACTTGCAGTCGAATGCTAGAAAAATTAGAAGCTAAATGTACGAAAAGCTCGTCTCCAATCTTGATCTATTTTTTTTTTTGCAGGTCATGAGAGACGATGCCAAATTTTAAAGAACATTAACGTCACTAGGCAAAAAATTCCTATCCCCAAGGGAAAAATATCTTTATTCCAAAGTTATAGAATCCAGCAATAAGTTAAGAAGAATCAGTAGAATAGGTTGTCGTCATTTAAATCCAAAGTTTCTACTGCTGAATAGCTTGCATCATAAACCAAATTTCAAAGGCTCGTAGACCACGTCAATCCGTTGATATACAGCTTTATTTTAAGCCAAGTCCGTACTCAAAACCAAAAGCCTAAAGCTAGACGATTTACATTGGACGAGAAGTTGTTGGCGTTGTCTTTGCTTAAAGCTAGTGGTAAAGGGTATAGACTATTATCAAAAATATTTATTCTATCATCCAGGCGAAATCATTTTCTTGAATGAGCTTTATATTATGTATAACTACATAAACTTTCTACCTAACACATGCGGAAAGTGTATTTTCTGGACTTAGAGGCTTGTTTGAACTCTGCTTTTTGTTGTCATTCGTGCAACTTCCATCACGTGCAGAAACACTTTCCTCACTTGTTAGGTTAACAACGATTTTGGATTGTGAGAAAAGGACCTCTTTTGTCATTTTATTTACGATTTAAGTTTTTCATCAAGCTATTGTTAAATGTACGTCATTACTTCTTGTAACTGTCCTTATTATCTTTAACTTAACTAGCATTACCTACCTATGTATGTATACTTACATGAAAAAAAAACTGTTTCGCAATAATTGCAATTAATTCCATATTCTTTAATATTTTCTGTTTCAAACTTTAATAAATATCTAAATTTGTCATCTTAATTTTTAGTCAATTTTACCTTGAAGGCGCTTCAACACTACCGATTTTATGAGTTTCTTCTTTTTGGCACAATTATTTTATGCCAAAAAATGGTAGAAACTTTAAAGTGGTGGTGTTGAATCGCTAGAATCAAAAGTTCATTGGTGGCGACAATAGAGGTTTCGCCGCCATCTTGTTCCCAACCTCTTGTTACTTTTAAATATTAATTATATAGGATTTAAATGGACATATATCATAAAAAATTGAAATCGACGTATTTGATGACCATTATTAGGTCCATCAAATACGTTGTTTTCCATGATTTATGATGAATGTTCAATGTTCACCTAAATCCCATATATTCATATTTAAAAGTAATATGGGGTTGGGAACAAGATGGCGATGTTTTCAATATAAATATATGGGATTTTAGAACCAATCAAAAATGAGACAGCAATTGTCGTGACGTGATTCATGACATTGACATTCACCGCAAAGCCCCAATACGTTCAGAAAATGCGCACCCAGAGTGCACTCCACGTGATGACGTCAGAGCACTCTGACAAAAAACTACTTAACCCTCACACTCCATTTCTAAACGCACTCCAGCTGTAGGGGGTGTCAATATATAAAAAAAACACTCTGTACTCATATAAATAGCTATTTGTTTTGATTTTAATTTTATTTTACTAGTAAACCAGTAGGTAAATGAGTAATGGACCTGAAATAAAAGTAGTAGAGAGATCTGGGAAAAAAACCGGAAACGCAAACCGAATTAATTTTTTTGACAATATTTTAATTTTTCAAAAGTGCCAGTTGATAACTAATTTCTCTGGTTCTCCATCTTTTCTCCATCCATCCATGGAGAAGGGATCGAGCTCAGAGGGCTCAGGGTACGTGCACGATTGTAGCCCGAACGCAAAAGACTGAAAAGAGAGAACTATTTTGAGCTAGTGCAGACAGTGCGGTGCAACTCTGTTATTTCCTTACTGCTACAAGCGTCAAGGCCACGTGAGGACGGGACAAACGTCTGATTTAAGGATGATACACACTACTACTACGGGATAGCCTATCTTCATAAGGCGGCAAGGCCTGTGTAGAACAAATCCCTCGCCTCCCTTGCCCCTTTATCCCTTGGCCAAAACACCATTTATGACTTAGGCAGCATATTATTTCTCGCCTTGGCATAGGCTGTTTTTTTTAACAGCTGACGACTTAGCTATGACGTCGGAAATGATGACACGAATATGGCGGCGATTACCAAAAACGAGGCCGATAAGCAATCGTAGGTGTGTATCATCCTTGCGTCTGACTGACACTGACATCGACATGTGTCAGATTCACGGCATTACTAGTTCTGTCACTACTGTCAGACCTTGTCAGTTTGATTTCCATTTCCATGAGTGAACGTTGTATTTCATTCCCAAGGAGTGAGTGAACATTTTTGATGAGATAATTGCGCCCGTTCGTCGGCCAAAATTTTCGTGAAAAGTTCTAAACGAAATTAACAAGTAATCAATCCTTATTCGTATTAAGTAGTCAGATATCGGGCGAACACGTTCGCGCGGAACTTGAGCAAAATCACACTCAAAAATCACTAGAAATTATATCCACGAAAATGAATGCAGATGATTATGAAACCCTTCCAACAGACAATATTGGAACTCATATGACCGCCGGGGCTATTGCTGGTGTTATGGAACATTGCGTTATGTACCCATTGGATTCTGTTAAAGTGAGCACATGCCTAAATAGATTTTTTAAGCCTCTCGAGAAAAAAAGGTTTTGTGGGAGAAATTTTGAGGTTATGTTCCTTGAACAAACATTTTTCCTATTTTCTTAGCGATCCTTTGAATCTATAGCCTATCTACTACCACTATCGTCTGCTCTTCAAAAACCATATTTTTCCTCAATTTTCTAGAGGAATGAAAATGGGTGTTCATGTTCAAATCCTGGATCAAATACAAAATCACAATTATTGAAGGTTATTTTAGCACCTAAACTTTTCAAAAAATTGTTTAGGGGAAAATTACTGAAGGCTGCCAGTTTCCAGTTTAATCATGTATTGAAAAAAAAAACTTTAAATTATTTCTATTGGTACGAATATAATGTTTTCCCTAATTCTAAATTTGTTGTCGCTGCACAAATATTAACTGGTTAACCTTGAAACATTTTCCAATTTGGCAATTCACAGAGTGCATCTTCTTGACAGTGTGACGAATATAATCGGAATATTTGCATATGGAAAATTCACAGTACAAGTACAAAGTAATTCAAGTAAAATACCTAAAGTAGTTGAGTGTACAATGTTCATTGTTCAATTAACTGCATTTTTTTGATGGGGCTGTATCTATTCCTTAGTTTTTTTCAGAACCATTCTGAAATAACTGAATACAGATTTGTAGAATAGGAAACTAGTGATACCAACATTTAATTTATTAGTTTAATGATTGCCATAGGAATTCAATTTTTCAATATATCTTTTTAGACAAGGATGCAATCCCTAGCAACAACAGGCTCAGAAGGTATTAGTGAAACGTTTATCAAAATGGTGAGACAAGAGGGTATGTTGAGGCCTATAAGAGGCATGGGAGCTATGGTCTTTGGAGCAGGTCCTTCACACGCCTTATACTTTAGTTCGTACGAATATCTGAAAGGGACATTCACTGAAATGGTTCCCAGTTCAAAATACAATACTCTATGTTATGGTAAGTAGCAATCTTCTCAATGAAAAATTTGTTATATATACACATGCATCAAATTCTGTTTGTTCACTGTTGACTCTAAAATTTGAAATATTTGCATGTGAGTAATGTCAACATTTTCAAATCGATAGTATGTATATGGACGAAAACGAGTTTTGTTTCACTTATCTAAAGCAACAGAGCCATTTACATTTTTATGGCTCACTAAGCGTGGTTTTTGATTTTCAATATAAGTGCATTGGGTAAAAGACAAAAGTCTGCTAATGAGAATAGATTTTTTTTTTTTTTTAATTTCAACCAAGTACAGTAGTGTCGCGATAATCTGGATCATTTAAAACCAGACCAATCCGGATTATCAAATTATTCGGATTACTAAGGCATTTTACATTCTGCTTTTAAAATTATTTTGAAAAAATAACATGCTGTATTCAAGCAAAAAAAGCTTTATTTTCACCATTTGAATTTTGTCCACCTTCTTCTACATTTTTCTGCACTGTCAGGAAGAAGTTGTGCCATTTTCCTTGAAAAGCCCACACCGTCAGGAAGGACGCTGTGTATTGAATGATGCGAATCGACATGTAAAAACTACCTATACACTTGAACGCAGTGACAAAACGACAATTGAAAACGTGTGCTTTTATTTTCAAGAGTCATGTAAATGAATTCGGATTACTGAATCAAGTAAAATCCGGATTACAGAGTACATCAAGGGAACCAAAATGCGATGCGGATTACAGAAGCATACAGATTATCGCGGGATCGGATTATCGCGACACCACTGTAGTTGGAAACTGGAAAGTACGAGTAGTTATATGGACACACTTTAAGCTTAAATGTTTTTATCCAAAATCTTCCTCTATGCTTTAGAAATGAACGCCAAAAATTGTTTAAACTAAGGTAGGGTTACCAGGTGTCTCGACTTCAACAGAACAGTCATAATATTGGAGATTTTGTCCCGGGTCCCAATGGATTATACATCGGAACGCTAAATGTCTTGATTTCACATGGGTGAAATACTAATAATAGTTCACAAATTCTCCTTCAGTTCCTTCTCAGTCCTCTTTTCCTATAATGCCGAAACTGACAAGTTTTTCTTCAAAGGGAAAATTTTAGCAGGATAACAGAAATAGTTGTACAGTGTGGTCATTTTATCTTGATAACATTTCAAACTATCATAATTTCTTTATTTTTGAAGTTATTTAAATAAATAAAATAACATACTGTAGAGCTGTTTTCCACGACACTATAGTATGGCAAGGTTATGTTTTTTTTTTTTTTCCAATTTATTTATTTCAGACCTTAAAACAGTACAATACATACTGGCACCAAGGCCTTCAAAAACTAACAGTTATTATAAGTACATATTACTACATATTAAGTAGATAATAATAAATTACAGGAATATATTCCTTCAAAAACTATCTTTAATATACTTTTTCAGGTTACGGCTCACTTTCAATTGACTTCCTATAAAATTTACTTTGGGTATTTTGTTGAATGTCTGTACACTTCGGTAAACTGGAGAGTCCTGTCCCTTTTTTGTCCTAACATGGTTATTCCTAATGTCTGTATTTGTCCTTGTGTTATACGTATGGTATGCATTTGTTTCCTTCAGAGTTACATTTGTTTTGATCAAACTTTTTTTCATACAGTGTATTAGCTTGCTTTGTTCTAGGCCTTTCAATTGTCTGATATTCAAAAATGGAAATTGCTGATGTAAGTGTTCACTGGGGGTTGACCACACTAATGAAAATATTGCTTTTATGGCTTTGTTTTGTGTTCTTTGTAATTTATCCAATAGGTATTCACTGCCATTTCCCCAACACGGAACTAAGTACCTGAGATGTGGTTCAATAAAACTGTTGTATAGTAAATACCTTGTGTTTTTATTTAGTTGATGCGCACACCTTTTCACTGCCCCTATGAACGGTACTACTTTTTGAATCACACTTTCAATGTGAGTCTCCCATGACAGCTTACTTGTAATTAGAAGACCCAAATATTTATATTCATTCACTTTTTTTAAAGTAGTATCATTTATTTTAATATGATGTTGATTAGTCTTTTTTCCTTTTTGGGTGACTGTCAAGTACACGGTCTTTTCAATGTTTATGCTTAATTTGTTATAGCATAGCCAATCATAGTACATTTTAAGATCCTTATTTACAATGTCTTCAACCATTTGACCATCTTCACTCGTATATACTAAAACTGTATCGTCAGCAAACATGAAATACTTTGCTTGAAGTCCGATAAATTTCATACTATGAACATAAAGTAAGTATTGTAAGGGTCCCAAAACTGATCCCTGAGCTACACCAACTTGTACACCTGCCTTACTACTAGATACATCATTTACAACTGTGTATTGTTCTCTGTTCTTTGAATATGTTTCCAACAGTTTGTAGGTAATTCTTCTGCATCCCATATTATACAATTTATTGAGGAGGATGTCGATATTGACTGTATCAAAGGCCTTCTGAAGATCAATGAACACCAATACTGCAATCTTGTTTTTGTCAATTTCGTTTGATACATATTCCAGAAGATCTACAGTAGCACCCAAGGTACTACTGTTTTTCTGAAAACCATACTGCCCATTATCAAATTTAAAGGACCCATTGATAAAACTTATTAGTCTGGTTTTAATGACTTTTTCAAGTACTTTGGAGAAGGTGCTTAGCAGGGATATTGGTCGGTAGTTATTTAGCTCATCTTGAGCGCCTTTTTTATGCAGTGGTATGACCTTAGCGATCTTCAGCTCTTGTGGATAAATACCTGTTTCAAGGATTTTATTGATCATTTTCACCATTTTCTCTCCAATTATGTGGAATAATTTTAAGAGATCAGACTTTGTCACATTGTCCATTCCTGGAGCACAGTTGTTCTTAAGAGCAGTTATTATTTCTTTAATTTCATTTACATCAGTTGGGATAAGGAATATACTTTCATTTATCGATTGTTCTTCAAATTGTCTCTGGGGGTCTTTTATGCCTGAAGCAAGAGTGCAGCCAATATTTGAAAAATGCCTGTTGAATTCATGAGCTATTTCTGTGTTGCTTTCCAGTTTTCTACCATCTGTCGCTATAATTTTGTGAATTTTGCTTTTGTGTCCACTTTTACCACATAACTTATTTAAGACTTTCCAGACTTTTTTCTGATCGCCATTTGTTTCTTGGAACTGTTTTTCTGCATACCTTTTTTGTAAATAACGTCTCATATTGTTTAGTTTATTTTTTGCTTTTTTGAACTCGTTCTCGGTGTGATCATTTTGGATTCTCTTCCATCTTATGTATAATTTGTCTCGTTGCCTAAGCATCTTTATGTATGAGTCATTTATCCAATAATTTTTTGTTTGTATTTTAAGTATTTTTTCTGATATATGTTCTTTTTTGGTTTCATTTATGATATTAGCAAGCTGTTCAAATGTTTCTATATTTTCTTGTTCATGCCTCAAACCCACACTATGTAACCATGCCTCTGTATTCAGGTGAACTTTCTTAAAAATTTCCTTCTCTTTACTGAATGTCATTTTTTTTACTTCTATGTAAACTATTCTATGATCAGATATTGAATTATCTGCTAATGTTAGATTGCAAATAATATTCTTGTTTGTTATGATGTGATCAAGTATTGAAGCTGTATTGGTTGTAGTTCGAGTAGCATTTTCAGTTGTAATAGTATTTTGAATTTGATATCCATTTAACACAACAGAGTTTTTATAATCTACTACAGCACCCGCATTTTTTAGCAAGTCCAAATTCACATCTCCAACTATTAAAGCACGGCTTTGTTGTCTCTCCAATAACTTATCGAATTCGGAAATGAAAGTCTGACACTTACTATGCGGAGGCCTATATAAACCATATATTGTTAAGTTCTGTCGAGGCAAGTACACAGAAACAATGTTGCAGTCTTCAATATTCACCAGGTGCCTCTGGTTATGTATGAAGCCAAGTTCGTGCCAAATAAAAATGCTTGTTCCACCCCCTCGGGTTTCCCTACAGTCATGTAAGGCGACATATGAAGGGAGATTAAAAAACTGCTTTTCATTTGGATACATCCAAGTTTCTGTCAATATGATTAGATGAATAGTTTTTTGACTATTTAAAACTATGTCTTTTAAGTCGTCAACCTTATTTCTTATACTTCTAATGTTTATATACAGAATATTTAATTTATCGTAGGTAGCCATTTTTAGTCTTAAAGTTTTTTGTTATATACATATTATAAGAGATTTATATGTAGGTAGGTATTTAGTTGATCAGACAGCTTTCACTCTTTATCCTAATAGGTGGGTCTGAATCATTTTTTTTTATAAATATCCTACCATTTGCTACGAAGGCTGATTTAAGATTGTTTGCTTGTTTGTATTCTCTAGCCTTTTTGAATATGGATGTAATAACTATTGTACATGTTTTTAGTGATGTGAACAAGGGAACGTTCTGATTGTGCTTTCGAGAACATTCGCGAACGTTCGCGCACGAAAAAAAATTTCGTGCTGAATATTACCTTTGGAGCACAATGAGCTGAATATTCTCTATCGTATATTCAGCACGTTCTCAGGCACGATCCTAATTAATAAAATCACATGACGCCATAAAGTAGAGATATATTTATGGAAGCTGTTGAAGGCGAAGATATATCGAATATTGAGCCCGAGAACCAGGAACAAACTTAGCAGCAATAGTTATTTTTTTTTGGAGGCAAAGGTAGCGTTGTACTGGAATATACTTAAACTAAAATCACCATTTTATTTTATTATCAAAAAAAAAAGAATCCTAATGATAATAGTATGTTGAAGTTTCACAGAAAACCCCAAATTAGAATAATTATTGTTATCAAACATGACACAAGAAACAATTCACAAATTATGTATTAAGTAGGTATATTTTCTTAAGAAGTTTGAGAACTTTCAGACATTTATCAAGAATTTTCAGAATATTCAGAACTTTCACGAGAAATTTGGGAATTTCGGGAAATTTGAGAAAAATCAGAATTTA